TTTATTTCACATAATATTGTTTATTTAATGTGTTTTTCGATAAATTAAAGGATCCTATATATAAAAAATAATTTTTTTTTGCTCGGAAATTTTCAAATAATGCTCAAAAGCTGGAAAAATCCCGAAAATTAGTTTATTTATAGCTTATAATTTTTTTAAACTTGTTTTAATTTACTTTCACGATAGTTTATCATACCAAAGGTGTCTTTCGTATAAAATCAATTGTCTTTCTTTGGAAAGGAACGTAGAATGGAATAAAAAATAAAATAAAATAAAATGGCGGGAAAAAGTTTGAAATTTCAAGACCGCCTAACTCCCTTTAATTTTAAGCTATAATTTTCAAACTCGGGCCGATAGTTGGTATCTATCAGCTGAACCAACCTATCTAAAGACATTTTTTATAGATAAATTAGGGGTTCCACAGTGGCCCCTTAAATCTTTTGTTTATCTATTCGGGAGAGCATACTTGAAGCTATGCAGTAGCACAATCCCCGTATAAGCGTGGTCCAACGGCTAAGACCATGTGCTAGTGACTTACGCCTGGAGCGAGGGAGCAAGGGTTCGAACCCCGACTGTGGTCGTTCTTTAAAATTTTTCCTCTTTTTTCTCTTTTGTTTATTTTACGTTATATTGTTTATTTAATGTGCTTTCCGATAAATTAAAGGATCCTATGTAAAAAAAAAAAATTTTTTATTCGGGAATCTTTAAATAATGCTTAAAAACTTGAAAAATCCCGGAAAATTAGTTTATTTACATTATATAATTTTTTTAAACTCGTTTTACAATATTTTCACGATAGTTTAGCATACCAAAGGTGTCCTATGTATAAAATCATTTGACTTTCTTTCTGAAAGAGGGCATAATGGAATAAAAAATAAAATAAAATAAAATAAAATGGCGGGGGAAAGTTTCAAATTTCAAGACCGCTTCAATCCCTTTAATATTAAGTTATAATTTTAAAACTCGGACCGAAGGTGGGCCTCTATAAGCCAAAACACCCCTCCAAAGTATATTTTTATAGATCAATTGGGGGGGTCGCTATGGCTCCTTAAATCTTTTGCTTAGCTAGCTGGGAGAGGGTACTTAAAGCTATGCAGTAGCACGATCCCCGTATAAACGTGGTCTAACGGCTAAGACCATGTGCTAGTGACTTACGCCTGGAGCGAGGGAGCAAGAGTTCGAAGAGTAATGTGAGTTTTAATTTTTCTGATGATTTTGTTTGAGTTTCTTTTCTTAATTTGTTATTTGTATTGCATGTTTTTTTTCCTGGATTTCTCTACAAAACCATCGGGGTACTGAGGTAGTTAATTTAAGCATTTGCTTCTCCCTCAATTAGAAATGGTTTTGTTTTTATGGCTTCCGAGGTCGGTACCCCCTGAAGACGTTGGCTTCGGTGGTCATATTTTTATTTCCTTCGTTTTCTTTATTATTTATTTATATCTTCTTATTTTTTTAAAATTGTTTTACAATATTTTCACGACAGTTTAAAATACCAAAGGTGTCTTATGTATAAAATCAATTGACTTTCTTCGTGAAAAATTCGTGAAATAAAAAATTAAATAAAATAAAATGGCGGGAAAAAGTTTGAAATTTCAAGACTGCCTAACTCCCTTTAAACATTTGCATTTTACTCTATACCTCAAAACGGTCAGCCCAACAGCAATTATTTTATTTTAATTACAAGGCGATTTTTTTCCTTTAGAAAATGAAAATAAATGGTAGCTTTGTGATGTTTTATAGTGTTTTTAAGTATTAATATATTATTACTTCATTATCTCGATTTTCATTACGTTTGACTCATTCTATTCAGATGCTAAAATTTTATTTCTAAAATATTTTTTAAAAAACAAGAGGAAAATGCTGTTGAAAACTAAAATTGACATAACAGGAACGAATAAACAATGAATATATGTTTTATAATAAATTAAAAGCTTTCAAAGAAAAAAAACTTATAAATAAGAATAAACATCAGATTAAAACGCTTCCCACATCAGTTCTTCAATGGATGGGCGGTCTAATGTAAACAATAACAAGCGTCCTTAAACCGGAAGAAATTTAGAAAATTTCCGGTGTATCCCTCCGCTTATGTTATGACTACGAGGCAATGTGTGAACAAGCCTAATATTCTATACAGTTTCGTTATTGTAATTTGGATTCAAATCTAAACATAATTGTACCATTTATAAGAGCTTTCAGAAATGTATTGATTCTCAGAGGTCGTAAGGCCAAAAAAAATTTTAGAATGATAATATCTCATTGTGAATAATTCTTAATGTTTGCCATGTTTTGTATTTTATCCCTTATTTGGCTACATTTGAATAAAATGTCGCCAAAAATATCTTTAAAAATATCTTTTTTACTTTTAGCCTAAAGGCTTGGTTTCTTAGGACAGGACGCCGTCAGCTGGAAATCAGCGTTAACCTCTGATTGGTCCATTTGTGAGTTTGATAGTATACGTCATCGAACGCTTATCTTGAACTTCAATTGCCGTCCAACTCAACTGCAGTTGGATTACAGCGTGACGTTAACCACAGAAGCAATGGCGGACAACATCCAACAGCACATTGAAATCAGCCAAGATTTTGATTTTGACATTAAACATAGCTTCTTCATTAAACATAGCACTCTTCATTTAGCTCAGCTATAATGTGTTTTTTCTTGGACAAAGTCATTATTTGTTCTCTAAAACACTGGTC